TCATTTTAGTCGGCCCTGATGGTTGTGGTAAAGGGTGAGTAGTCTCTGCTCATTCGAATAATACATGTACTGTAAAAGCATTGAGTTCTGTTAGTATTTATTGCCTTTATTTAATATTTTCATCATATTCACTAAGATTTTTTTTTTGATTTTTTTTTTTATGTTCAAGTAAATTTAATTATAGTGAATTTTACTTATATCTGCATTATACCAGCAAAAGCAATGATATTGTCACCTGTTGAAAGTCCCACAAATAACCAAAATGACTGGGGAAAAAAAGTCAGTAGAGATGTCGTGATCTCCATTGAATAATTAATGCATTTATAGTATTTGGCTTCCAATGCATTGATTTTTGAATGAATCCTGCGAAGACTATATCTTAAAACGATCTTATACTGTTTTCATTTTAACTTATTATCACCTGTGTATACAATCAATCAACTTGCTTAACAAAATGATCTAAGTCAATCAGTATGTCTTTCTTCACAGGTCTGCAAATGATTTCACATTCTCTAATTTGGGTTGTAAATATGAATACTAAATAATGTTAAATTAATTTCAGAATGATATTAAAGCACTGTTTTGAGTTGTTGAGGTCGACCCAGATTGCCACCATACATTGCAGCGCACAGACGTCACCATCCCATGTGTTACAGAAACTAGCTCAGACATGTATGGTTATCAGTACCAACACTGGTAGAGTGTATAGACCAAAAGACTGTGAGCGTCTGGTCTTGTATCTCAAAGATATCAACCTACCAAAACCTGATAAATGGGGTACCAGTCAGCTGATTGCATTCTTACAACAGGTATGATATCAGCTATTATAGTGTAATATATTGCTTCAGATATTGATGTGAGAATGTGATTTATTAAGATTTGAGAATCAGTGAACTGGTTGGTATTCTGATACCTCATAGACTCAAGATACTGCACTGTCAGTGTCAGGACATGAGTTAACACCCTCCATCACATATATGTGAAGATCTTCCTAAGGCAGATTCTGTGTAATTCCATTCTATAAAGTGTCTAGTAATTATTCCCTGTTCATGCATTGCACAAAAACTCTGGCTTGTAAATTGAGCCATGTCTGTATGTGATCGTGAGGTTGGGCAATGATTTCTCAGCAGTGCACGGCAGACCAAACTTGAAGATCACATTCATTTTATGAAATTCTGCTTTTTAATGATTTAGTTGTGCAAGTTTTATTTAGTGTGTTTTAGTATATCCTTTCTTTTTCTGGAATTTAAAATTTAATATTGCTTGAGATTATCAAGGATGAATAAAGTCTATACTATTACCCATGGTGAGTTTGCTAATTAGATTCAATTTTTTAAATACTCTAATATAATTATTGAAGAGAATTGCTATTATGAGATACTACAGTAGATATTCTAGTAGCCAAAACAGTTTCATAGACAACATCCAGCTAACCTGTGTAATATTTAAGCAATAACCCCCGCCGAAGGCGGGTATACCACGAGATATTGCACAATTCACGACATATATGCACGAGCCGCAGGCGAGTGCATATATGGAGTGAATTGTGCAATATCAAGTGGTATACCCAACTTCGGCGGGGGTTATTGCTATTATATTATACCAGTATATTGACAATTCGATAAAACTTGTAAAAAAAGAGTTTACTTTCATCTACTAAAAGATCATGATTATGGCCCTTGAACATGAATATTTATAAGAATAGTATGTA